TTCCAGAATATACCATTTCTCACACTTCATTGACTTTGGAACCTTCTTATTGTATGCAGAGCATCCCACAGGGCTACTGTTCTAAGGACCAAAATTTAGGGGAGCCTGCCCTGGACAAATGACTGAGTTTCTCCCATTGCTCTTTTTCCTCCCTTCCCTAGAGCCTGGTTGGTTCAGTCCTAACCTCAGGGAAGCAGATTTGAACTGGTTCAATATTGAGAGCAATTCGTGCACATGGGATGAGTACAGTCCCAGCAGGTTTGGCAGGCTAGAGGGTGCCCAGGAGGACACCTTAGTCAGGAATCCTTGACATTCCCCCAAATAGACCAGTACAGTGGCCTGGCCCTAGACAGATGATGCTGGGCAGAGACACAGGATGAGGGAGACTTGGGCCATTGGTCTCTATACCTTCAGATGCCTTGGGAGAGCACAGGACTTAGGTCTCCCCCAAAGATCTCTGTGGAACAGATACCATATAGAAGAGGAGCAAGGGAACATTTTTGGAGATCCTAGGAGGGACAGTAGCACCTGCAAGGTGATTCAAAGCAGTACACATGGTTGTGAGCTCGGAGCCTTGTCCTCACACTCTGGAGAAAGCCTACATGCCCTCTTTGCCATTGGGGAATCCAAGGCCCTGGTTGCTTAACTCCTCAGAGGCCTTCAGGGACAGGGCACCTCATAATCAGACTGAGGGGCTCTATAGCCTCATAACCCCTCTGTCTCCTGTGTAGGAGGAACAGGCCAACACGCAGCTGTCCAGATGCCGGAGAGTCCAACACGAGCTAGAGGAGGCCGCGGAGAGGGCGGACATCGCCGAGTCCCAGGTCAACAAGCTGAGGGCCAAGAGCCGAGACGTGGGCGGCCAGGTAAGAGCAGGTACCTGAGATGTAGAGGCCAGCTAAGAACAGACACTGAATATGGGGGCCAGGTAAGAGGCGAAAGCCTGAGTGTGGGAGGCCAGACAAAGGCAGGTACCTGAGATGTGGGGACCAGGTAAGAGCAGGTACCCGAGATGTAGGGGGCCAGGTAGGAGCAAGTACCTGAGTATGGCTTCTTCCCAAGAAGTCCCAAGCCCCGGAGGAGTCCCATGGACCACCCAGGGAGAACCTGGAGGATGACTGTTGATCCTCTCCTTCCTGCTGCTGGTCACACACTCCCAAATGCTACTGTTTTAGCAAAGACTACTGTGGTTCCAGGCTCCTGGGAGAATGAGCAGTGAGGCAGGACACTGTCATCCCTATCTCTCCCTGTTGCTACAGATGCTGCCCATGAAGCCCCTGATTTGCAGGGCATTTGTCCTGTCGCTAGTAGCTAGATTGGTTTGCTTTTACAATGTGCAAAGGGAAACAATGCCATTCCTTAATGTGTCTCTGAAGTTCCAGATTTTCCAGCTGCTCCACTTCAACGTGATGTTCAGTCTCCCGTTTAGTTGACTCATTTCCTATGTACAATTGTTTTTTCTCCCACAGAAGATGGAAGAATGAGGCTCACCTGATGCTCGTTGCCATGGGACACCTCAGAGAGAGTGGAGGGAAAATGTGTGAGAAATAAATTCTCCTAAATACTCGGATTCCCGGCTCTGCTGTGTTTATTATCATGGTCCATTCCTCTTCCATGAAGCTGATATTTAGATTCTTGCTGCTCTATTGTAAATATTAAAAAAGGGATGTGAAAGTGGAGGATCTTTGCTCCAAGTAGAAAACATGGAAATTCAAACCATGGCCAGGTAAATCACTAGCTTCCACAAACATTTAAAAATAAAGACCCTATGTCACTCTACATCTCTCAGAATAGCTATCATCAGAAAACGAAAGATAAGTGTTTTTTATCTTCTCAAGATCATACAATCACCATCACCACCATCATCATCACCATCACCATCTTCTCAAGATCACCATTACCACCATCACCATCATCATCACCACTACCATCATCACCATCATCATCATCACCACCACCATCACCTTCTCAAGATCATACCATCATCATCATCACTACCATCACCATCATCATCACCATCACCATCTTCTCAAGATCACCATCACCACCATCACCATCGTCATCATCACCATCACTATCCTCTCAAGAGCACCATCATCACCATCA